TTTATAATTAAAGTAAGTTATCAAGGTTCTAATGGAGCTGATTACATAGTCTCTAAATTAAATTACAAAATTTTATTAAATTGTAAACATGACTTTTAAGTACTCCACAATTTTGTGATGACGTATTCAACTTCTTGGAGGAGATGAATAGATAAAATTGCGTTAATATTCCATTCCTGAATCAGTCATTGATGTTTTCTAAATTGTTTAAAGAAATCATTATGTGGTTTTTTTACATACATAATTTGTAATCAAGGGTCCTTGGAAAGGAGTTAGCGTGTCGTTGATTAAACCACACTGATAAATGTTAACAAAGAGCAAACCTAAAAGTAAACATTGCGGATACATTTTAACAATATTTTTAATGAAAACAATGTGAAGTTACACGGAAAATTGCTGCAAGATTAATTAGTTTTATTAAATAATGAAATTAAATTACAGTAAATGTCTTTCCTCTCGGTTATTCCTCCAAATTATTGACAAGTATTCGATAAATAAATTATCCAAAAATTATTATCGTATTGAGGTCCTAGCCGAACCCGCTGTAGTCTCATCTTGTTGAGAATAACATACTTCTGTGGTATAAGTCTGCCAAAATTTCTTGCTGATACCTAGTATAGGTTACCTTCATAAGGGTTGCATTGAATAAGCCAGTTAATCACATGATAATTATTATAGCCAACATAAGCTTCAAAGAATAAAACCCCTATTATCAGTCGTGGACTAACTACAACTCCAACACCAATTTTTTGATGATATGTATTTTCAATGCTGCCATACTTTGAGAATTAACGTAGTCACTCAAACGACTCAGGTGTCATCTGTAAAAAGGTTTTTTCCAGCAGCCGGTCATCAAACGGATCTAAAAACCACTGACAATGGTCAACTCTATCTGAAAAAAAGCTTCACGTAATTCTTGCATATTCGATAAGGAAGCTGTGCTAAATCTTTTCGAGAAATTTCTCGCCAAGTTCCATAGGATAATTCCTTTTGCTGCGCTAAATATCACGTGGATGTTGTAGGGGTTTGCTCCATTATCTGCCACACTTTCAATATTTTATGGAGTTATTTCTCGACCTACCACTTTCGTCTTTTCTTTACAGAGAGGAGGTTTCTTGAAACTTTGCCACACATCGTTTGAATGAGTTGCAAAATTGGGCATAGTTGACAATGTTGCTGGGAAATTCTTCCCGGAATTTAGTCCAAGCTTGAAGTGAGTACGTCCACACGCCGTATACCTTCTATACATTTCGAAACTACGACTCCATGGTAAACGCTTTCTGCTCAAATGGAAATGTCATTTTGAATACGAAAATAAAGTTCTAAAAAGAATTGTTTTTAATGTAGAGATTATTTCTCGATGGAATGACAACAAGCAAGAGAACGAGAAAAGTTAGAACAGACATTTCATGTAGCAGTTGCTAAATGAACAGTGTAAACGTAAATTTTAAAGCAAAATTAAAGATCAGTTTATGAAGGATTTTAGAATTTGTGTCGTATTTATTTCAAATATTAGGTTTATAATATTATCGGGGTTTCAGTGAAAACTGTGGCCGTAGAATGTAAGGTTGGTATGCTAGGAGAAATTTTGTGTAATAAAACAAGTGTATCATAGGAGGCCTCAGCGCGCGTTAGGAAGTATCGCCATTTGTGCAACACTATTGTTCAATAATTTTTTTAAAGAAGGAATGTTCCACTACCACAATCATAAATTGACAACTAACAGGACAACAAAATTATTAAAAAATATCAAAATTGTAATTTCTGTCGGTATAATCTTTTGATGCCGCACAAGTTAGTAGTTCTAAATGTTGTAAGAGAGCCCTCGGTGAATCCGGGGATTTATGGCCAACTGGTACTTGGGTAGATTATTCCACCTACTGAAGCGTGAATGATTGAAAGATACTCAACCTTATGTTCCATAGCCGTAGTCTTCACATACGGATTCAATTCCAAGGATCACTCGATTACAAATTATGTTGATCGACCGACAGAAGTGGGTTATTAGACCACAAGCAGCATGCTAAGCTGCATGTCTGAAGTTGAGTTTTATTAAATAGGGGAACTATATAAATTTTGATAGACAGTGTATCACTAATAGCAACAATATTGTATTCCTAGAATTTAGAAGTTAAATAAGCCGCTTTTGATTTGATCAGTAAAGAAACTGCTTTTTTTATAATATTTTTAGCTATTCCTTTATTTTGTTCATCGAAAACTCTGTTCAGTTAAAAATTTGTGTTAAAACCGAGCGACAGCAGTTTCATATTCTATGCATTCATCCCGCAAAATAGTGGAACCGTGAATGATGGAAGCAGCGTGTAGTTGACCGTATTTTTTCGGTGGCTATCACAAAGTAATTATGGACCGTTATCTGGTTTTATGTTTCCACACTAATTCTCCAATTGCACCACCGTCCAGATGTTCGATTGGTGGATAAAAAAACTTCAAAGCACAAATGCAAAACGTGAATCGAGCATCGATATTGTGTCTGTGTACATACGTACGCGCTGTAAAAGCCACGTTTGTTATAAAGTATCGCACAGTGTGATATCTGATTGCTTTCGTCCTGAACTTTTATTACGGTCAGTTCGTTTTGCAGTCAAGGTTGCAATAAAATATCCTGTTGAAGTAGTATGCATATAGGGCAGAATAAAATGTCGAGATGAAACTATAGTACCTAATATCCATAAATAAACCGGTGTTTAGTTACAACGTAATCTTCAACCGTCGCAACCAGAATAACAAACTTTTCTAATGCGTTTCCTTTTCTTCTCTTTAGAAATGATTTAATGTCGGAAATAAATTGTTTGGTGTTTCTGCCGGTATATTTATATATTTCGTCGAGCAAATTTGAGTAAAATTAGCGGCAAGCAGTGAACTTCCTTAGGCAAATTGAATTTCGATAAAAATTACAATTTATGTTCGAAATTGACCGCTGTGCTTTCCTGATCGAGTTTTTAGTAATAATTCATTTAACGGGGGCACATGTTCAGTTACGCTCTACTTCTGTGTAACAGTTAAAACTACTTTGCTGCAACTCCCCTTCTAAATTATTCATTTAGTAGTCTCCAAGATTGCCCGGAAATATGGAATCGATTAAATTTATTAAAAGTTTACTTCAGTTGGAGTCCTGCAGCGCTTTGAAAGAGTTCGTGATCTACCTGGTTTGTAAGTACATATATATATACGTAAATGTTTTGAGTCAGAAAGTTAACCTATTTTTTTAACGGCAGTTGGAGCCAAATCTAACATCGTTTAGAAGGATATATTTTTGTAACTAATAGGTAGTACGAGTGGTAAAGGTACGTTCAGATCTAAATCTTTTCTTTGCTTATGTAAACTTTTGAAATATTGTAGCAGCCAAAACTTGCATTTCATATTCAAGTCGTTTTTATAAATTGACTTGTCCTATTTAATAAAACCATTTTATTATTGTACAATTTTCAGTACCGCTGAGTGAGGTTTGTTTATTTAACTTTGAGAGTTTTTCGTTTTATTTCTATTTACTTTAGCATAAGCTAAAGAAGTATTGTAATCGGATCGGTCTGTCGTCTGTGTTCATATTTATTAGACAGATAATCTCCGCAACTACTAGAGCGATTGTTGCCAAACCGTATGTTTATTTTAGGAATATTGTGTAAAATGATAACCAAGTTTGTTTGATCATCTCCACCATGTGACGTCCTCCCAATATTTTTCATAGTGAATGTTATCTAAATTTTATGATAAAATAACATACATATGTATTCCTACACTTGTGGTTTATGCACCCGTTTTGATTTTTTTACTCTAGATTTTCGGAAAAAAATAAAAACTGAATAAAAACATTTTATTACAATTTAATCTTGAAATTGCAAAACCACAGTTTGGCGTGATTGAAGTCTGTTATATGATGTGAACTGGTGAATTGTAGGAGAAAATGTCAAAGGAATATTTAAAAATATTACTTTATATAAATGTCTTCAAGTGTGTTTAGACTTAAGGATATAATTGTACTAGGTGTGGTTATTATTATTACTTGCCTGAATAACAGTTCTCAATGCAGCTTTACAATGACTCAGACGTATACCTACTAGTTTTCTTCTAAAAGGATATCATACAAAGGACACTTTGCAAAAGACGTACTCAATAAAACGTTTCTTATTCATGCAATCTTCAGACAATAGTAGACGCAATTATGAACTAACGAAACAAAAGTTTTTTGAGACAGTCGTATACCTATTAAGCATTATTGTAAATATGAGTATCGTTAGATTTTTCGAATAAAAGCTTGGGCTTGACTATGAATTTGTTCCTAGGATGCAGCGTTTTTTATCATGAATTGATCCTTCATCTCATTTTATTGTGAATTGTATTGAAAACGCGATTAAAATAATTATGTTAAGAGTTTTTCAAAACAAATATAACAAATCTTACAACAAAGTTCACAAAAAAACAATCGCAGACTGCTATTAAGACAAAAAAAGTTAAATTTAAGTTTTTTGCGACTTTTTCATTTAGTCTGTTATGTTGCCTGCGTGTATACCTTGTTTTGTTTTTCAATTCTTAGTTTATGAAATGATTATAATTAGTTAATTACTCTCTGTAAGTACTCATTGTCATGATAAAAAATATTAGATTCATGGAAAATATGTATATTACTGTGAATTTAAAAAAAAGGAAAACATACACATCAGAGAGTCAACTGATATTTTTGAGCTTGTATTTATTTATATGTCACATTCCGTGATTTATTTCTTCTACAACAATTTAATTTAAGAAATTCATATTTATGTCAGTAACATAATTATCAACAATATGCCTCTTATTTAACTTTTACTTCTAAAACAAAATTAGTCCTCAAACTTTTATTATTTATCGAAAAGTCCGATCTGTTGCACCTACCAATAAAATTTTTGTTTTTAATTTGTACCTCCTCATTAATGTTATAATCTTGCTCGAAATAAATTCGCCATTAATAAATTCCGAGCCGTTTTAATAAAGTTTATTCTTCTCAGGCTTCGCAATGACAAAAACGGAGGCGCCTGGTGTCCAAGACAAATGGTGTCTCGAGATGCCAAGGAATATTTGGAAATAAACTTAGAAGAGTTGTACGTGATAACAGGCTGCCGCACTCAGGGACGATTTGGGAATGGCCAAGGGCAAGAATATGCCGAAGAGTACATGATAGAATATTGGAGGCCAAATTTTACAAAGTGGATTAGATGGAAAAACCGCGCTGGGAAAGAGGTAAGCAAAAATAACAAATTTCCAACTAAACAGATTTACGGTAAAATCATCAGTTTCATTGTTTCTTGAAACACTATAAAACTGCAAATATGTTGTAGTTTTTTTAGAGTTATTTTAATAACAATTTTAACTTTCATTTAAACTTAATAGGATATTTAATTTAAGGCGGCAATCGACTGATACTTTAGCCGATTTTTCCATCAATAGTTAACCTGAGAAATAGTTAGTACAAACACCGACTGTTACAAGATTTTGTACTTCGCTGGTAACTAGTGGTTTTTAGTTAGCTGACAAACGAAAAATTGGCAGTTTGTGCAATATTTAAATATTACTCCTAATTAATTATTTGAAATAAATTACGTTGAGTTATGGCATTTAGGGCTAATTTATACAATATTTTAACTGAAATTAATAATTCATTAATTAATAATTCATTTAATCATATATTTAACGAGGCCTTTAGTGTTAGAAATTTAATCACAATCAAATATTTGATTGAGCTTGTGTAAACAGTTTTTATTTTTGACATTACTTTTTTTATTTATTATATAACGAATTTCCATTTACTGTTAGTGAGATTATCTTTAGGGTATTTTTGTACAAGTAATCACAAAACTTCCCCTAAGGGTGACCAAAGCAACAGTGGATAGAAACTAGTTCGGGAATAAGTAAATCAAAATCTTGAAATAAAATAGAAGCTTATACTTGTGATGAAAAAATAGAAAATAATGTAAGAAAATCATTTCCATTTTATTTAACTGTTTTGTGCAAAACGAAGGAATTAGTAATTAGTATCATCTAAAATTGAACAAAAATCCACTTTTTATGCGTAGGGACATGCTGAAACAAAATAATACTAATTCAGTTTCCGTTTTTACGGCTTATTTTTTTACGCAATTCTCTTTAAACTGGCACAGAGTCAATTTCAAATATCTATTATTTCATAATTCACTCGCGTCGAGTGAAGACTGAAACTTTTTGCCGAATAAAACTTAACAAGTGTATCAAAAGAATCTGAAATCCAAGATCGCAACTTTCTTTTCGTTGTTCTATAGACAGACGGACGTGATTCCTCCAAGTTTTCTTTTTAATGGCATTTTCACAAATATACATACTTAGTAAATAGACTATTGCTATATTAATCGCAAATTCTATTTTTTAATTATATCTTCATTATTCATTTTAGTTTGTAGGGAGTCGCTATTAACCTTTTAAAACTGATTAATAAAATTTAACAACGCTTCACTAACAGTTATTAAGTACTTTGGGGAATTTGAAATTTACATAATTTTTTTTAGGAATACTAAATTTTTCACATAACAGCCATCAACATTTTCATGTGAAATACTAATTTGTTTACTTGCATAAATTTACTTGTGTTTTATTATTATTTTGTGACATTCGCTAGCGAAATGATGAGACAGGCAGTCATGCAAAAGTTTACGAGTTGCGTAAAGTTAGGTATGGTGGTATGTGTGCAATACATAACATCAAACAATTTCGGGGTTTAAATTTCACGTATGGAGGCACGGTCGAGTTGAGCGGTACATTTGCATTTTGATCTGCAAAAAAAATCAGTGAAATTTTAACTGTAACAAAAACTACGGTCCGCAGCTTTTCAAGCTTTTATTGCGTTGCAGTTTTATTTGATAACTCGACTACGAAGTTTTGATGAGTTGTTTAATATGTTTTAGTTGAATGCTATGAGGTGTATTGAAAATTTATTTTCCATTATGAGAATTTATTCGAGTCCCTAAATGCAAATGTAATTTCATTTGAAAGGCTTTAATTTGTAAATCGGTTTTAATTGGATTTTGTTGTTAATTTCAACAGAAAAGTTACATTTCGAATTTTGAATTCAACAGGCGTTCTATCTCACAATTTCAAATATTAATGGTATTAATTTACAGATCAATTTCATAGGCGCGTACGATAAACTTCAATTTACCAACAAAAGTCACTTGTTCCTGCATGGATACAATGAGCATAGTATTTCCAGATTTATTTATCGCAAGGTGGTTCTCAATAATAAAATCAAATATTTTAGGAAGGGCAATGTAAGTTTTTCTGTGAAAATGCAACACAGGGTAGATATTCTAGATATGCAGCATTTCATTGAAAAACAAATTTTTTGCCATTGCATTGAGGGACGACAGTCCAGTGTATTTTTTTTCTATAAATTATCCCTATAAATGATTCTAGATTAGAAGAATCGCAAATAATACAGTCCATTGCTAAAGAATGGAACGTCCTTGTTTGACTGGCAACTAATAGGTATATGAAAAGTAAACATTGTCTGTAAGTTTTGCATATTTAATTAACAAATAGCAATTACAGATTAACTAATGAAAAGCCATTCTACCTGTTTAAAATAAAAGTCACATTTTGGTAAAATGTACCTATTTATTTATTTTTTTGAAAACTGAAACGGTCTAATTTTCATTTATCATTTCCAAGCGTTGAACCTTCATTTCTGTCTACCTTTCTGTTTGTTACTGATTTTATTAGTCAGATAATTTTCGAAACTACCGGACTGGTAACGTGAAATTTTAGATGCACTTTATATGATTTTCATGTAGGAGTAAAAAGTTGTGCAAAATTTGATCACGTTATCTCAGAAGTTTGCAAAGTAAATCTAGCTTCAAATTGATCGTTATTGCAAAATCTGTAAAGTGAAATTTTATTGTTTGTCTTAAAACTCGATCTGGTGACTGCATTGCATTGTTATGTCCTCTTCAAAAATGTTATAACGTTGCCTCAAAAAGCTATATGTACTTACTTAAACAGATATTTATTAAAAAATTGGTCTAAAGTTATTTAGACAAAACTTCCCTCGGCCCTGAAGTAAACGAAAAGAAATGGGAGACCTACTTTTTCGTATTCTAGGGGTCATGGAACATCGAGAAAACTTTAAAGTAATCACTGGTCGGATGGATCTTGTAATAGGGTCCAGGAAAACTATTACCAAAATAATTTTGCCAAGAAAAATAGAGAATTTATTCTATATTTTGAAGATAAATTGTGTAGTCGTTCAGAACCTAACAATTTGTATGTGGTTTGTTGTTAGCAAGCGTGCCTCGCAGTTTTTATTACCGATAATTTTTGAAGTAATTCTCCTGACAATTTTCGAAGGAACAGTATAATAATAATCTACCGGATATGTTATTTTGTTTTTTTTTACGAAAGCTACATGTTTCAAAACTAGTTACTATAAATTTATGTTCAACAACAAAAACAACAAATAAACATTGAAAAAGAATATAGCAAATTGTTGTTAAACGCTACTTTTTCTGTTGTTGGAAAGATAAGAACTTTGTTTGAGATGGCAAAATAATTGTAGCAATGGTAGAAACATTGTTAAATAATCGAACCAGAATATTGAAAGTTTATAAAACATATGTAAGGTACATATATTAAATATGAAGTAATAAGTACTCAAACTAAAACAACGCCGAGCGTGAAATCTCTGGTGATTTCTAAGTAGTTCATGCTGTGGAAAGCAACTAATGTTGTGAATATAATGGTATTATTGTCAAGCGTTCGTACGGCAAACTGATCACTTAAAATTAAAATATTGCAGATTTTATGGCTACGATTTCGTTCAATATTTATGGCTTTTAAATGGCAGTATACTTTATTGTAACATAGCGCTCCAGCTTTTCCTTACAGGTAGATTTGAAATAACTATCAGACGCTGACTAAAATCTTAAATGAAAAATTAATCTAAGTATGTAAAGAAATAATATTGATACATATATGTATTCATATAAAAGTGCTGTTCTTACTTGCCTTATTATTCCGAAAAAAGGTTTGTGGTCTTGAACAGGGGGAGATCTAGGAGAAAAGATCATCCTGTGCTTGAGCTTTAATCTATTGTGCATGTAAAGCAATAAGAGGTTGTTGCCACGTGTCAGTAAACAGATTGACGTGTTTCAGTGGATCCTCAAATTTAATTAACATTTGCTTTGCTGCTCTCAGAATCGGCAAAACCATGAGTTCATCTATTATCTATATGGATATAAGTTCCGAAGTATTAATCGTAATTTTTAATCCAGTAATCGTTAGGTTACATTAGGTATTCACCGATTGCATCGTCACTTTCCAGATCAGTACTAATCCGGATGTTCTCCACGTATGCAAGTAATCATGTTAACTCTCAATATCCAGGTCAGAATATATACCTCTACCACGATTGACATACAAAGTTGGTGTAATGATAGATGTGATACTACATTTAACGTTTAATGGCGTTACACTTTCGCTACAGCTGCATCGAGAGTTAGTTTATCGGGGTTGAAAGTTTGTATGGAAGTTCATCTTTTTTGAAGTTAGAGATATATACTATTTAATTCCTTGTCGGAATTGGAAAATGTTTCTATACAATTTTGAATATTTTTTGAAAAACTAAATGTCTGAGGTAAAAACTAAAAACTGATTAATAAACTACAGATATAGGGCATATATTTTATGAAATTTAAATGATTTCGCTGATTTTGTGGAAACACTTTGAGATAATAATGTCATCAAATATTTTGCTGGGGATGATTAAACAAATTTTGGTTAGTAGTGGTTCTGGTCGTATATGAGGTACAAATGCAGACACCCATCAAACCGTCAGTAGTAATAAGTGTATAAAATTGTCCACGACCTCCAAAACCATATAATACTCCCAGTTAATACGATAACGTTAAAATGAAATACGTTTCAGAAATGTATTCTAACAGCATTTGAGTTGTCACACGATTCTTACTAAAATTTATCATTTTTTCTATGATCACTATTGCAAATCACCAAGATCATACAACCCCCTAATCATGTATGCCTGTCGCACAGCTTGCGTATAAAATTTTTCGATTTATTCAATTTAGGTTGGTAGTGAAAATGACAGGACTGACAGGCTAATTTATACAAAATTGTAGACATTAGAGGAATAATCGAAGCTGTTTAAAAGCAGAAAAGGAAGAAGGTAACATTTAGGACTGCAAAAAATAGCAAATTTC